CCCTGTTGATGACGTCAGCGACGCGGTTTAATCGGGCGCGCTTTAGTCGAGCGCGGTTTTGTCGTGCCACGGTCTGCCATAGCACCTACTCTCTAAACAGCAATCTTCTAGGCATCTGCAGCATCCCCCCCCCTTCCCCCCATTACTGGCCTTTAGAATAGCATTAAAATATGACTCTTATGCAACTCTTAGGTAGGATGTTTGGGGAAGTCAATCATTTGTTTCTATCAACATGGGGAGAAGACAGAATTGGCTGTTAAGCTACCCAGAGGAGTTGTAACTGACTGACCTGGAAACTTGAAAAATAAATAAAGGAACTTCCTCTGTATAATTATAAACAGAGTCATTGTATTTTCTTGAGAACTAATAAGAGCACCTGCTGGCTGCATCATTTTTTTCCCCTTGAAAAGCATTACATTTGCCGTCTCATCTGCAATCAGGAATAAGTTTAACGAAGGCAGGTTAGACATAGCTTAAATAAATAAGTAAACAAATAGTCCCATTTGAAATTTCATGCAGTTTCAAAAACAGTTTGCTACCACTGTCAGGGAAGTCCAAACAGAATCTCTTTGGAAATCTGTTGCAATTATAATTTGGACAGCTGCAATCTGGAAAACACCTGGATTGAAAAGCTTGCACTTTTATCACTTTCTGGAACTAATGCAAATGTCACAACTGCTCTTACTTACTTTTTAAAACTTACTGTCTTCTTCTGAACACTTTACCCTGACAATTTGCCATGAGCACCAATGTAAATGAAATCCAGGCTCTTCTAGCAGGCCATGGAACAGGATGATATGTCACCCAGGTGTTTTTTTTTTAGTTCATTACTATTTTATATTTGTGGGTTCTCCAAAACAAGCAGCTAAAAGTTGATATTGTTATGGCTGATTTTTCTTCATTTTTTTTTGTCTAAAACTGCATTTAACGTACATTATAAGTTGCCCAATGTTGCCATAGCAATTGGGGCAATTTATGCATTTATTGATTGGTCAATTAATAATTATATTATGGTTTGCTCTAACAAGATCCATAAGGCCTTATATATATATTTTAAAGTGGTACTTTGCTATAAGAAGGAACAAACCTTGGTGACAATTCTGTAAGTGATGAATGTCTCAATGGCAGTAATATAGCTTTCCGGCTCGTCAACCGTTATGAAAAGATCCTTTCCTTCTGGTTCATCCTCAAATTTGTACTGATTTATCATCGAAGATGGAGATGTTGGCATTAAAGGACTGAACGAGTTTGCCTCCATGAGTGACGCATCCTGTGAAAATAAACAAGGCAATTGGAAAGAAGTCATCAGGGTTACCAAAAGATAATGCCATAAAAGCAACGTGGGATGGCTGCTATAATATACAATTGATGAATCACAGTTTGCAAGGCAAAATACACAAGACTTGTATTTCATGCTCAGCTTGTTTTTTTTTTAAATGAGTCACAGACTAGTTGCCATTAATGAATGTCATGCTGCTTTGTCCAGGAGTTTGAAGGAAAAAATGATATATATTGAGAGAGTTGTGAAATTTCAGCTTAAATAATAGATTTATTTTATATAGCTCCTTATTTGGTGAGAAAGAACAGTATCAATAGTGCTGTGTGTACATACTGACAATTATGTCTCTTAGAGAAGTAATTATATTAAGCATTACCGCTCTAGAATTGACCAGCCTTTTTTTTTTTACCACTTCTCTCTGTAACAATTCTTCCAGAGTTTTTAAAGGCGGTTCTGTAACATTTCACTTTGTTGGCAAAAAGATCACAGCCAGCTGTTCTGTTCTTTTCTGGCCTAGAAAACAGGCTGCTCGCTTCTCAAAATCAGCCAGAGAGAGGTGGGAAGATATAGCAATCAATCTATCAATCAATCAACCACAATAGCCTTTCTGTCTTGAAAATACACTTGGAATTGGGGGTCTAAAACTTTCCTTGACCTCCAAAGTGCACTGGTTTTCCTCTTCTTTGCAGCAAGAGTTCCATTGTAACATGACACTGAATTTAGCCCTGCAGATCACATTTTTTTAATACAATGGTAATGTTGCATGTATCTTTTCCTTGGAGATTATAATGCAATAGCAATAGCACTTAGACTTATATACTGCTTCATAGTGCTTTTACAGCCCTCTCTAAGCGGTTTACAGAGTCAGCATTTTGTCCCCAACAATCTGGGTCCTCATTTTACCCACCTCAGAAGGATGGAAGGCTGAGTCAACCTGGAGCCTGGTGGGATTTGAACTGCCGAATTGCAGCTAACAATCAGTTGAAGTAGCCTGCAGTACTGCACTCTAACCACTGC